TATGAGGTATCTTTATGGTATTTACTTTATAATAATTAGTGAGAAACTAAATAAGATACTTTGTATGACAGGTATATATATATATAACACTGTTAAACCAAGCATCAAAGTGTATTCATTTTAGTGACCAGACATTATAAGAGAGAAAGCCTGAAAAACCACAGTGAGAAAACAGTACATTATTAATAACAATAAAGGTGATGACAAATAAAATCTAATTGAGAAATGAACGAAATAGTTGTGAATAACAAAAAGAAATATGTTCCAACAAGTCTGATTTTATAGATATTGTCCTTTCAAGCCGGTCTACCAGGTAACGATAAAAGTTCACTTTGTACCGAATCAATATAGATTTAAAAAATTTCCTTGATCTTGTGGGAGAAGTTATAATGGCCACACTAAACAGTCAGTTTCCAAACGCGTTTAAAAATAATACTTCGAGTGGCTTTTAAAAGCGGGATCTAAAGTTATCATCAACTCAATACAGGAACAACTGATCAACTCTGGACACTGTAGTGGTAAATAAATCCCCAAAATAAATAGCTCTGTAAGTTTTCGACATTGGATGCTGACCACATTTTCTAATGAACTCACCTAGATGAAGGCACTTGGTCATGCATCCGCACCAGATCACGAGTGGGAACGCCGTGCTCAACGTCTACTGCAATCGCTAGCCAGATTAGATCAAACGATCCTCGATAAATTCATAGCTTATCAAATATATCTTCGAACCTCCTTGCTTCTGTCTTCTGATTTCCTTTGGTGGGTACGCTTCATATAGCTGTTACTGGTTAAAGCGTTGTCAAACTCCGAATACCTGTGGCATCTTCAAAACGTTACTTCACAGAAGTCATCCTTGAAAGTAATCTATACAACCAAAAGAATTAGACCAAACGGAGGTTGAAACAAAGACCTATGCACTGCTGAACAGTTGACGATCCACCAATTTAAGGCCGGACTATCTGTGCGAAAACGAAATGTCTAACTACTCACCCTTCCTTGGTCCTTATCCCCCCTACCCAGTACGTTTTGAGTTTTTATTTTGTAATTTTTTTAAAACGTAATCACGTATTATTCTCCTCTAACTATTTTTCATGATTATCCAATTATTGTGAGCTTTACGTTTTCCATTTCCTTTCATATCTGTCAAGTAGATAATTGTCTCATATTTCCAACCGGTAAATTGCCCCCTGAATGCCCTGGTACGGCCGAGAGTGGGGAGAGTCCGCTCTCCCTCTCGAAATACTCTCACACGGCCACGCGTATACAGCCTCTGCCAGGGAAGTCTTACTCATTGCCTTCTCGTGGCGGGGGTGTTGTTTACGAAAATGAGAGGACGAAAAGCGAATGTCCGGCGCTTTAACCGGATTCCAAATCAATGGTGCACATGGGCTCCAGTATCCTGCGGGAACGAATGGCGTATGAACCAATCGTTGGTCACCGGCTACCATGGGACTGCATCTCCTTACGATGCTCCACTGCCTTGTGGGTTAGACCTTTAGGTCAAAGGCTCGGGGTGTGGCCCCCTAAGATAACCACCTGCTTCGGTTTGGGCACCCGGGCAGTATCACAGCCCACACACACAAATGATGAACTCTTTATGTCTATGGAAATTACTTTTGTCGCTTTGAAAAACAATCAATTGATTCAAATTATGATCACTACAATTATTGTCATTATTAATACTAATATTATTATTACTACTATTATTGTCATTATTGTTATTATTATCCTTATTATTATTATTTTCCACATTATTCACCTTCTTTTATACTTATACAGCGGCTCGTCTTTGGTGGAATTCCGACTGTATCTAAACGTTCTCGAGTCACTGTCCGGTTGAAAATTGTATGTTACCACCGAATACGAGGACTGAAGCAGATTTTCTGAAACCACGTGCACCATTCAAACTGGCTGCCTTCAACGTTCGCACATTTATGCAGGTCGGACAACAGATAGGGCTGGCTATCTCTTTGGAAAGTCTTAATATCGACGTGTGTTGTCTATCCGAGACCCGTATTCAAGACTCTGGCGAAGTACTACAAATTCGATCTCCATCTGTCGCTTCGAAAAGCTTGTTTTACGTGCGCTTATCCGGGGACCCTGTGGCATCTTCGTCTGGTCTTGCTGGCGTTGGTGTCGCACTAAGCGCTAGAGCTGAGGCAGCACTAGTCGATTGGATCCCCATTAACAGTCGGTTATGTGCTGTTAGATTAGAAAGTTCCATCAAAGTGAGAAGAAATCGGCGTGAGAAACGATATCTTTTCGTCATCTCCGCCTATGCCCCGACAGATTGCAGCCCGGATGCAATCAAGGATGAGTTTTACCACCAGTTATCAGTTCTTCTCCAGAAAGTGCGTTCGACAGATATTGTAGTACTAGCCGGAGACTTGAATGCTCAGGTCGGGCGTCTAGGCACAGAAGAGAGTCGTTTAGGTGGCCGATGGGGACTCGTTGGTCGCAGGTCAGATAACGGGGACCGTCTACTGCAACTTTGCACAGACCACAACCTGTTTCTGGCTAGCACTAACTTTCGGCACAGTCATCGCCGATGTGCCACCTGGCGTCCTCCCTCTGCATCTCAAGCCTGGACTCAGATTGATCACATCGCGATCAGCTACCGCTGGCGTGGTTGTGTACAAGACTGCCGCTCCTTTTGGAGTACCTATCTGGACTCTGACCATGCCTTGGTCTGCGCCAATCTTGCCTTACTTTTCAGTGGACAACGAAGTGAACGCCATCAACGGATTGATGTTAGCAAGCTGGTTGCAACTTCTGTTGCAAGTAAGTATCGAACCGAGCTAGCCTCTAGGCTAGCTACCACTCCACCGAAAAGTATAGATGAGCATTGGTTGCAATTGCATGACGCCATGAAAATGGCGGGAACAGTCAGTTGTGGGTTTGCGAAACGTCCCGCTTTTAAGCACTGGGTTTCTTCTGGTTCCTTACAACTCATTGAAGCCCGTCGGTCTACTCCGGGTAACCGTGAGTTTGACCATAAACGAAGGTTTTTACGTAAGGAAATCGGGCAAAGCTTGCGTAAGGACCGAGAAGCCTGGTGGTCGATGCGTGCTAATGAGCTGGAAGCAGCAGCTGCATCTGGTAACTACCGGAAGCTCTTCCAGCTCATCCGAGCCACTGGCAGCAAGAAGTCTGGTGTGAGTGAAACAATCTGCGAGGATGATGGGATGCCAATCACTAACATCCATCGACGTCTTGGACGATGGGCAGAATTTTTCGAAGGGCAGTTCAACTGGCCTGCTGCTCCGGCAACATCGGTCAGACTGTCCTGCCCTCCATGGCCGGTGACGACTGATCCACCAAATGAGGAGGAAGTCCGCAAGGAACTCCAACTCTTGAAGCGTTACAAATCACCTGGCCCAGATGACTTACCTCCGGCTCTTTTTAAAGATGGTGGAAACTTTTGACTAAGGAATTGACGACGTTGTTTACAAAGGTCTGGGAACTAGAGAGTGTACCAACGTCATGGAATGAGTCGATAGTTGTCCCTATCTTTAAAAAGGGTTCACGTCGTTCTTGTAACAACTATCGGGGGATAAGTTTACTTCCGATTGCGTCCAAGCTATTGGCTTCCGTCATTCTTCGTAGGTTGTTCAAAACCCGAGAAAGATTGACTCGCGAGGAGCAGGCTGGGTTTCGTTCTGGTCGAGGATGTATTGATCATATCTTCACCCTCCGCCAAATGTTAGAACACCGCCATACTTTTCAAAGGCCAACAATCGTAGTGTTTCTTGACATCAGGGCTGCCTTCGATTCGTTGGATAGGACTGTTCTCTGGGATTGTCTATTGAAGAAGGGTGTGCCTGAGAAGTTTATTAACATCCTAAAAGCCCTGTATAAAAACACCTCAGGCAGAGTGAGGGCATACAACCACCTCTCTCCATTGTTCCATTCGAGCAGTGGGGTTAGGCAGGGTTGCCCAATCTCACCATTCCTCTTCAACTTTGCCATCGATGACATTCTGGAAACAGCTCTGATGAATGTAAGTAATGGTGGTGTGGATCTGTTGCCTGGAGAAAGACTTCTCGACCTCGAGTATGCGGACGATATTGTCTTACTGTGCGATAATGCCCAAGGCATGCAATCCGCACTTAATCAGTTGGCAATCAGTGTCCGTAGGTATGGTATGTGCTTTGCACCTTCGAAGTGCAAAGTACTTCTACAAGACTGGCAGGATTCTAATCCTGTACTCACCCTGGACGGTGAGCAGATAGACGTAGTTGAGAAGTTCGTGTATCTGGGTAGCTGCGTAAGTGCTGGTGGTGGCCTGAGTGATGAGATCAATGCACGAATAGTGAAAGCCAGAGCGGCTTATGCCAATCTGGGCCACCTTTGGCGCCTTCGTGATGTTAGTCTGGCTGTAAAAGGTCGGATCTACAACGCGTCGGTGAGAGCAGTTTTGCTCTATGCTTGTGAAACCTGGCCTCTCCGAGTTGAGGACGTTAGACGACTCTCTGTGTTCGATTATCGCTGTCTCCGAAGGATTGCTGACATTCAGTGGCAACACCATGTCAGTAATGCAGAGGTTCGGCATCGTGTGTTCGGGCACAGAGATGATAACTCAATTGGTGTCACCATCTTGAAACACCGACTTCGGTGGCTTGGACATGTTCTCCGAATGTCGTCCCAGAGAATTCCACGTCGTGCATTATTTGCCGACTCTGGGACCGGTTGGAAGAAGCGGAGAGGTGGTCAGTGCATGACATGGTGTCGTGGCATGAAAGAAAGCTGCAAAGGACTGGCTTGTGTTGGTCCTTCACGACTCCCTGGCTGGGGTCCGAGAGATGGTGCTACACAGTGGCTAGAGACGTTATCAGATATGGCTCAGAATAGAAGCCAGTGGCGATCCTGCTGTAACCTTCTTTTACTTTCTTCATAAAAAGTGGTTGTGTCTCCTTTACCTGAAAGATTTCTTCTGATTGTACCTCTTCATCATTACTCTCTTTTTCTTTTGCGTTCCTTAGTTTTTTTTTCTTTTTACTTCTCTTCGAATTCCCATTGTTTTGTGTGGCGCATATATATTGGCGCTCTCTTGTACCAATATTTATGTGTTCAAATAAATAATAATAAATAACCGGTAAATTATTTTCATCCTCCTATCCTTCTCCAACCCTGGGATCATTACGCGTCCTCCTTTTGATATTTTAAATCTCGGATCACTTTACAATCTATTTCCCTACAGGCATATATTTGTCAAACTATAAACACGAATGTACAGCTTAAGTAGATGATTTCCTTGAAAAGAGAATTTTATTCGCTGAATCCTCTTCATTTTTATGACGGTGAGATACTTTCAATAATAATACATCTATGGTTATTATATTATTATTCGTTAAACCCGCTTTTTGCATGTGATAATAATAATGATATAAACGCACTTCTACGTTAAATCTTACAAAGATAGGTTACAGTAGTTTCAACAAATTTACTGACCATTTAGTTTTGGAGATACGATGAGTGTCAGGAGCAAGGTGAAGGTATTTTCCTCATGTATGTTGCCCAGTAAATTTAAGCGCATAAACGTTTGATACTGTGATGAGTTGTTGATTGATTGATACGCATACCTCCCGTCAATTCGTTAAAAACTATTAATATTCAGAATTTCTCAGTCATCTAGTAGACTTCTCTAACCCATGTGATTCGCGTTTTATTAGGTTTACCTTTCAGTATTTCGGGAACGCTAGGATGATTGTTAGATTTAAGTTGGAACTAACTCTACAGCGTGATCTGGGGGAACCATACAGAAGTGAACCCCAGAATTAGGAATCACCAGGCGAGCACAGTACCCCTTGAATCCATACAACAGTTCGACGATCGATATTTTCAGCTCGTCAATAAATGACAGTGCGACGGATGGTCACAAACATTCTGACTAAAACGAACGAGATATATTCACAAATATTTACTTGAGTCTTTACATTAATCAAATTAACTTGTTGTTTCTACTTGTTTAAATGACTTTTCGAACTAGTTTTAAGAATAATTCTTTTGAATACTGGGTGAAGGATTGAATTTGACGCTATTCTTGTAGGATTTCAACTACCGGCATTTTAAATGATGGGTCTGATCAAGTAAAAGAAATATTAGTGTCTATGGGATTTCGATCTGGTATGTAGTTTTCTGTAAGTTCAATTATTAAGTACAACTCGTGTATGCTGTTTTTAGTACAAATACGCAGAGGACTTCCATTACTTTAGTTATTTTTTAAAACCGGTCAATGTAAACAATCAAATATTCCCACTGAGATATTAAAAAGACAGGTTGAGAGAAGAAATAGTTCTTCTCAATTAGTTCTTCATCAGGCCTCTACACGAAATAATATCTTTGCAGTACTCCATGACATTAAGTCATTGGCAACTGAACTGCTTCATTTAAATAGTTGTAGGCTACCTAGTTGGATTCCACGTGATTATCGTAACCAGTGGTTGGGTTTCGAGTGACATCTCAGAATCTTTGGCCATAGCACACGTCCATTTAATTCATGTCTTTCTATAGAACCTGAGTCTTGAAATCGCCTTATACCTTTGTTTTTCTTTTTCTACATCAAGCCTTTTTCACTACTGATATTTTTATTACTCTATGGTTAGTCAGGAAACAATTTTATCTCGTCATGATAATGTGATATGGTGACCAATGCATATGTCTAGTTCTACGTTGCATATAACTGATTGAACGTCTTCATTTATCCAAATTGCTGAGATTGACTGTTTCTAAACAGAAAAAGTATCTCCACGTTTCCTTTAATATGTATTTCGATATTACAAAAAAGTATGAAAGACAATAGAAGTCGTTAATGTCGTAAAACACGTTTAGATATACAGTAAATAACTATCAAAAATGTTTACTGACCCCTATCGTTACGATTAACATTTATAAAGTAACAAATAAAAAAGATAAGGAAAAAAGAGTAAAAATTATAACCGAACTCAATATGTAAATCATATCAAAAATATATAAATATTAACTGAATAACTTAGTTTCCTTGAATAAAATTAATAGTAATTATGATTCCAGTCCATATTTTTCAATAAGGCATCTAGCTTTATTCACGTACAACGTTTTGGCTTCTTCACTGCAAATACCTGTAATTTAGAAGTAAACAGTAATAGAATTAACAAGAAACCACTTTCATGACTTTTGCTAGCGTTTTAGCAGGCTCTACGTTGCGTAAGACTGACTGGTGACTTTTTGGGATCATTTATCAGGACAGTGATACATAGACTATTTCTCAAGCATCGAAAAGTGAAGCCGCGAGCTGATGGTTGGTAATAAAATAAATCAATGCGAAACACTTTACTGGCTCATACCATCGGTAAGTACAATCGCTATATTTCGCAAATAACTACACGATGAAATGAGAGTAAAGATACCCAGTTATACCACAAATAGTTTTTCTAAACTTATCTATATGAACTGTAATCCAAGGCCAAAATACGTCTAGTATAGTAAGCTTTTAGGCGGATAATTCAGCCGTACGTTTAAAACACCCCTTAGTGAAATTTGCATCCTATCACATGAGTGACCGATATTATGTGAGTTTCTCAATTGCCTTCAACGAATAATCGGAAAAATTGACGGCATTTCGTACCAAACAAAATCAGGATATTCGCACTCATAATTAGCTGAAGACTATGAACTCAGTTCACGGCATATAGGTTTCTGTTTGTAGGAGGGTGAATGGTCACTGGTCCCTTAAGATTGCCATCAACGGGTATTTGTTGTGGTTATTTGTTAAGCAGCTTAGAAACCTTAATATAATAATTAATAATTGTAAAGCCCAGGATGATTTTGCTACTGAGTTCTAACACTCAGTTGTCATGTTTTAAAAAGCAGTAATACGAATGCGTATATAGACGCATATATATAAATCGTTACTTTAATCTGTATTTTCTTTCATTCTAAGAGTATTCAAGAGCTCAACAATTTTTTATAGTGTATGAGAAATACTTTGAAGCAACAAGTTACTAAATAAAGTGAAACTTGTCTTTTACATCCAAAAGGAGTGGAACTCAGGTTGAACCAAATATTTTACATAGTTCAACTACATTGGTCGGACGCACACTACCACCTTTATCTTGTATACTCTTTTTATCTAGTTAGCACAATGTTTCAGCATAGAATGCTTCTATTTCTCTGTACATCAAATTAGAATGTACTTCAGGGTCATTGGTTTACGGATGAATAACCGGGAACCAAGCAGAACAAACGTCACACTACTAATATTTCTGGACGGTTGTGATGGGGATATCTAACCACGGTTACCAATATTTAGTCTTACGGTTCTACATACTGTCTACAAGTTCAGTTTGTAGCGCACAAGAGTAGCTTATAGAAAAAAGACAAATTAGGCAACAGTAAACAAATTTTTTCCTTGGTAGTCAGGTCAAATTTGATGTTTATTCCTACGAGTCATTGTGCTGCATGTTTTAGTTAAAATACACAATACTAAGGTCGATCTTACAATCTTAAATATAAACTATTGGTAAGGAACCATAACCATGGGGACATACAGTACAATGTATGGCAAATTAAGCAAAAGCGCACGTGTCCCAATCATATAAGATTAGTGAGTGATTATTTTGAGTCTCTCCACTCATCCTAAGCAGAAAAATTTTCAGCTTTAGTCCGCAGAATGCATATTTGTTATAGTGGTGTGGCAACTTGTCATTAATCAAATGGAAAACCTAGCCTATGTGCTTGTGAAGATATTTTTAAGTACATGCATGTCTGTACTACATATATATGGCTTTGAACGACTACTTACCTTTTTTTCCATTCCAAGCGTTCCATTTCGCCTTTCCTTTTAGATCGAAGATACCAGGTGCACCTAGTGAATAAACTATAAACTAAAAAACGTACATGTATTGTTGTCACCAACTGTAGCTTGTTTGTACAAGCCGTAAAGTTCGAGGAGATCATTATCATTAGGTTTTGTTTTAAGCTTTTTAACTTTTTCAGCATGACTGTTAAATTCCTAAAAAAACATAAAGTTAGGCAAGTACAAATACCTCCATAGTAACCATGGTCCCTGTGTCACTACACCAAGGTCGAGACTGTATTACGCGCTGTAAGTTTTAAGCCCACTGATTTAGTTTCAACCGTGTTTTGGACACTTTTTTGAATGCGCATGGTGAGCGTGCGGTTTAAGTTGAAGTTTTTGAAGCATTGATTTATTAGCACGTTTTTACGGCTATGGTTTCCTCAAAGTATCTACATTTTGGACCTTAATTGGAAAACAATTCTCATTGATTTACACACGTACACCGACCTACTATTCTTCTTAATGAAGACTCTCTTCTTATGTCTAGTGTTTTTCTGAATTTCTTCTACTTAGGTGCACACCGAGTGTATGATATCGATTTTCGGGATGGTCTTTACTTATGGGTTTTTGTGCTTCTTTTCTCAAATATTTGTCCACTAAGCATATATCTATCGTTAACGTAGTAAGCAGTGTCGTAAATAACTCACAGCTTTCTGTTAATCTAAATGATGGATAAAGGGAAATGTTCTGACTTCACCTTTTTATTTAAAACGACGAAAAATTAGGAAATTTTCAGACAGTTTTACTTAGGGAATAAGATTTCATTTTTCACTCAGTCCCTGGCTTTATCCTTTCAGCTTTTATATCAGGCCGAAGATCTGACAAAAGAAATATCATTGTGGAAATGTGAGTCAAACTAGTTACAGAAACCAACTGTGCCACTAAATTACACTAAAAGACTTATTGGTAACTGCATGTCTAGCGTACAGATGGCCACATTTATTTTCACTGATAGCCACAAAACATGACTTGCACTAGCTAGCTAGAATATCTAGGTCGGTCTGAACTTCTTGTTTGTCGGTATCTCCGACTACTTCCCTTCAGCTTTCAATGTGGCCAGCTTAATGTAGAATCGGGAACCTAATACACTAGGATTTCATTCACGTGGAGTATATACGGTTAATGGTACAGGATGGTGACTTACTGTAATTCCCTAAGTACTAGTTTATTAGTGAAGCATTGGAGATTTATACTAGTTTTCTTTGAACGACCCATCACTACACTTCTGAACGGTTGTCTAGAGATTCCCAGAATAAACAGTAGTTCAGTATCTGAAACCTCCTCAAAATTATTTTTGAAGCCAAGGCAAACATCACTAGTTGGTTTTCCATTATCAAGCGACTAATTTCAGATATGCATGACAATCCGTTACTAAAATCTTGTTCTGTACTGTTTGACACATTATCAGTGGTGAGACGGGACAATCAGAAACTACCATTTGAGAGCGGCACATCGCACCGCTCAGAAGCCACCAAATTACATGCGTATTTATTTTTCCAAGGAATGGCTTCATTTTATAAGCAACAAAACACTAAACACCAATGGGCCTAACTTCCTGAGGGACTGAAAGATACATTTAAATAGGTGTATATATATGAATGATGGCCTCTACACAATAAATTTCCTTTTGACTCTATGTTTTTGCAATCGATAAACGCTTGCGTTCAGCATATTAGAGGATTTCAAATGAAAATTGACTTTCGGACAACATACTTCTAAGTCCGAAGAGTTTACTGCCTTCAGTAAATTAGCTCCATTGAATTTCACTGTAATCAGTCGATTGAGTGGCTTAACATCTGGACTTAGTCATTTATCTGGAGGGGACTAATGTGTTGAATATGTACCTAAGTTAACAGCCATGACATTCACTTCGTCCCATAATTAAACTGTGAATCCGTCCGTGAATTTTCATCCTGTAACTTATATGTTAGCACAATAGCTCTTGCTGTATGATTGAAGTTTGCTCCACGTGATATTCATATTTCTGATGAGCTGATCTATAAACAGTTAATTATCACAACTCGTTGCACAAGAGCACAAGTAAAAATTCAAATTCAGTGTAAACACATTATATCGTGAAATCAACTAGGGAAATACTTCGCCACCTCTCCTTAGAACCCTTATGGTGCCATCGTCAAAGGAACGATCTAATATTTCTCTGCAAAGCAATATATGGACTCCCATTTCTAACCTCCTGCGCGACCACGATTTATGACCCATTCTACTGGAAAACACCGAAAACCAAGGCGTTGTACGCTTTTTACAGTGCGGTATAATTTATTATGGAATACGTCGCCAATACCTATCCGTAACTGTGACACTATCACCAAGTTCAAAAGACTAATAACATTGTTACTTGACTCCAAAGAGTCTAATCAACTATTTTCTGAACTTTCACCCACCAATGACACACTTTATTATGGACCGCCTAACATCTAAACAGATCGTTAGTATAAGGAACCTCATTGTCATTAATATGAATATAACCAAATGATAGAACATATGGTTTACACTATCCGATTATTCATTGACTATGAGTTGTGCCCTTATGCTCCTACACCTCACCTTCAGATTCCGAATCTCTCTAATGAAATTCATATGGAATTAATGAGTTAATATTATCGCTCAAATCAATAAGCTGTTTAGCATCGTTACAACAGCCAAACTTAAACAAGAGGGGGCATGTTGATCTGTCTGAATTTTTCTAAGGCGGATGACTTTGCAGTTGTCGTTCAGCATACCCCATAATCCAAGGCGAATTTCCATTAAGTTAGACGGGTGTGTGCGGTCGGGGAGGTTATACGCGACTGCATTGGAGGAGGACATCATTCTCTTCGTCACTTCTTCAGCCTTAATCTCCAGAATACACTCGGCTTTAATAAGCTGCCCAAGATTTCGATCAGTATCAAGACCTCATATACGTGTGAGGGGTGCTAGTTGATTAAGTCTCCCGTTAACTTTGGCCACAGAGTTTTGTAGCTGACGGATGTCAGTACTATATCTATCAGTATTTGGTGTGAACGAAATGAACTATTAGACTCTTTAGTCTTTGAAATTTTGAACTTAGGCCTTGGTAAAACATGTTGTCTGGTAGACTGCGCTGACTTTTCGATGCAGGTGGGTACTGTGCCTTGTATGTCAACCAGTCTTATCGTTAGTGTACTGTGCGCAGAGATAGAGGGGTTGTAACACGGAGAATCAGGTACTGATAGTGATATTTGTGAATAAGACGCATATTGTTTAGTAGATAAAGGTTCGACTTTGTCATATACTTAGACGTAAATCTGATCTGGACCTGTTATTTGGCTTAGAAGTCGGTGAAATGTCTCTTTTACTGAAGTTATTGGTCATGATTTGAAATTGGGTGAATAGAGAGCTCGTTATACAAAATATAATATCTGAGTATATAGTCGTTATTAAGTTCAAACCCGATTGATACAAGTATCAGAGACTATGAGCATATAATAAGTTTCGGATCTATTTAAGACTTAAGTCGGCGATAGGAATAATATTAACTGTTAAGTTTCCGTCGAAGTTTTTTCAGGGTAAAGTGTACCCGATAGACAAGACAGGATGATAGTCTTCGTATAATACACCCTACAAATGAACCAGTTGAAGAATTCCTATACCACTTTCAAATTTTGCGCGGTAGGTTAAAGTTGCATTATTCTTCTTAAGTGTCGTGTCGTTTTTTTCTATTACAAGTAGACAGATAACTCACTAATCTTGTGGATGCTGATCAAGTATGGCGAACCATAAAATGCTCATAATATCCTAAATTCTTGTGAGTCGCTAAATGTTTTGTTTCCTCACTCTGAAATTTTACAATTCTAAACCCTTGCATGGTCTTTGATTTGCTATCTTTTAGATTTATGGTATACTTCGTTAGTAATGCTGCTCTTATAATGGACCTAATCCTTAAATTGGAGATTTGTCATGATGTAACTGACTAATCTATAAGATCTTACATGGAAATCACACCATTTTCTAAACCAACTCATCGCATCGTAACAATCACCCGTATATGTTGTAGAACACAATTGGGCTAGAGATAGAACAATATTTTCAACATGAATAAAATACACAAGACAACACCGAAGAATGACCATGCCTGAAAAGCCCAGCCATGCCACTCGACGGAATGAATTCATCCATCCTGCCTTCTACATCGTTGGGTTTTTCTTCAAGTTAAATGTTGAATATCTATTTTCCCGGTTGTTTCCTGTTCACATTTCAGGATTGTTTGGTTACGACCCAATGCCACTACAATCTATCCTTACCATCTCTCAACTACACATAATCTGAATAGTGTCGTATAATTTATACTATTAGTTATCTTCATAGCAGTCTGGATATCTAACCCGTAATATAGCTTTGATCATCTACATTGCTTGTAACGTGAAACTAGTGGAAGAAGTTTATTCAAACAAGGGACTTATATTAGAGCAATATTACGCATATCACATACGGAAGAGAACCTAACATCACAAAAGGAGGGAGGGTGACGCTACTGACCGGCACAACATGATGGTGGGGAGATAACTTCAATCAGCCCATGTCTGTAGAGACGAACATGTTGTTGAATTACGGCTCCTTATGACCAAGGAGGATATTACAAACCAATGATATTGACACTAATTTACAACGCAAAATACCTCTTTAAATCATGTTTGTGACGCTGAATTTTTTAACTTCTACCGAGTAATCCTATTACAAGCGAAACTAGACAATTTGCTAAAAACGAAGTCTGCTCATGACCCTCTAAGATTAATAAAATTGAAAATGAGCTGATATAGCTTCGACAAAAAAGGGAGACAGCGAATTCTGTATCAAAATACTCTTTTCACTATTATATTTTAAGACTACACATAATCCTATACTTTCAGCTTCTTTTTCAATCACCTCCATTCAATAATAATAATTTATTCTCAAATAACAATTTGTTACATGAGGCATACCAGCTTACAGGCAGTTTACAGTTCTTTATCCACTCTCGCCTTGTTTGCTCCTATTTTCTTTACGAAAATGCTCTTGCTTAAAATGTACCCTAATAAAAGAGAATTCGACTAAGTAGTCATGCTTAAACTATTTCTCCACAAATGACTCAACTTCGATAATTATGAATGTTGTCTGCTTTGCTCCTCGTCCTTTTCTTCTTACACTCCTTTTCATCCCCTTTGAGATATATCAACGAATACACATATAGAATAGGCGACTTTGTCCTGAGCGATCATTAATGCCTCAGATGTTCCAGAAGGAAATAAGGTTGTGGTTTCTAGAATCTCTCAAC